GGAGTGAGGAAGAGAAGGGCTGAGGATGGGCGACGAGGAAGGAGAAGGGACGTGGGAGGATAGTAGTCCCCCAGAGAGAACGCGCGTGATGCTCGATCTGGGGAAGAGGATAACGATGAGGCCCCCATGGCCCTGGGTGCCGCAGTCGCCCTTGGGTGCTCGGCCTCCTGCGGCCTCCTCTGAACACCTGTAGAACCCTCGTGGTCCTCGGCCCTGGGTGCTGCGCTTGAAAGAAGAGCAACCAACTCCACGTACGTCAACTTTCAGAGCCCGACCCGATCCGATCTTTCGGGCGCCTCCTCCCTCCCGCCGCTTCCATCTCCCCCCAGTCGTTGTCCTCCTCGCCGCGCCCTCGCCGATCGGGGGGGCGCTGGCCTACCGCGCCAGCGCGGTGGGGCGGGCTGAAGCAGAACAAGAGCCAAACCCGCGTCGCGAGAGGTCCCAAGCCTCGATCCTGCTCCGACCAAAGACCCCATCAGAGCCTCGATCCCCCCGCCGCGCGCGCCCCCGCGCGCTTGCGCCACCGAGCCTTCGACTGCGACGACCACCACCACCACCATGAGGGGGGTCGAGAAGGGGGGGTGGCCTTGGCTCATGGGGGGAGACAGTCGGGCGCGCCGAAGGTGGGGGCCAGGAAGAGGGGGGTGAGCACACCATGTCCCGAGGCATGTCATCGGAAGATGCGGGGCCAAGGGACGTATGGAAAGAGCAAGAGGGAGAACAAGAGGGGGCCGTGAGATCTCGGAGATATCGTGGCCCTGGCCATAGTGACCCACCCCCTAGTCCTCACCCCTGTCGTGGACGCCCCCTGTCAGGGGGGGAGGCACTGCCCTCAACCACGACGACGAACGGACAAAACGAGGACCACGGCGACCGCGACGACGAACGACGACGCGCGGGCTCCGACAACCGCCACCACACCACCGAGACGACGACCACAACCGCGACGACAGCGAAGAAGAACACCACGGCGACGACGACGACAACCACGGCGACGACGACCGCCGCCGCGTGCCCTGCTGCAGCCGGGGCTGCCGAGCCCGCGACAACAGCGCCTCTGGGGCGAGCCCCGCGTCCGCGGCGCCGAACTCGATGGAGTCGAGGCCGCCGACGGCCGACCGCGCCAGCCTCGGCCCCGGCGACGACGACGGCGACGCCGACGGCGACGGCACCGACGACGGCCGACCGCGCCAGCGAAGACGCCGACGACGGCGGCGACCAACCGGATTCTCCAACCTGATTCTCTTACCCCCGTGTTGTGTGTCCTTGACACGGTCGGCGCTGGCGACGGCAATCAGAAATTAGCTATCGTGGGGGGGGCGTTCTTGGGCCTTCTTGGGCCTCACGGTGCGCTCGCGTGGCCACGGCTGGCTACCCCTCGAAACTCTGGTCGGAGTGCACCCCGTGAGAGGTCGGGGGAGGCAACTGACGGTGCTGACAACGGCGGCGAGAAGTGGAGGGGGAGGACAAAGAGAATGGAGAGGGGCGAGGAGAGGAGGATAAGGAGGATGAAGGAGGACAAGGAGGATGAGCAGGACAAGAAGGACGATGATAAGGAGAAGGAGGAGCATGAGCAGGAGCAGGAGGAGCAGGAGGAGGAGGAGGAGGAGGAGGAGGAGGAAAGAGCTCTGACAGGCTGGGGCCCCTGCAACTCCTCCGCCGTGGGCTGCTCCTCCGGGCGGCTGGAAGGACAGGCGCTCCGGCATGACCGGCGGGAAAGGAGGGGAGAGGAAGGAGGGATGGGCTCCTTCTCCTCATCATCATGCTCCTCTTCACCCTTGCTCCCCTGTAGTGACTGTAGTGGGCCCCTGGAGACCTCTGGGGACCTCTCGGCCAGGACTTCCAGAGACTTTCGGAGACCTCCGAGCAGGGGAAGGAGGGGGAGCGAGGGACAGGAAAAGGGTGGAGAGGGAATAATGGAGCTGGATGGGGGAGGGAATGGAGTGGGGATACATGTGCGGAATGAGAGGGAGGGGATGGGTTGATGGAGGAGAACTGGAAGACAAGAAAGAGGATGCAGGATGCGATGGGGTAAGGGATGAGGATGATATCAAGGTCAGTGATGATAGCACGCTCTCGGAGGGTGGTGATCATGATGAGAATGAGAAGGACAGTGAGGATGATGAAGAGCTCCTGAAATAGCAGTAAGCGAATGAAGTCACAGAGGACAAGGATGGCGACGGATCAGAGGACGACAGCATCAGCAGCAAGACACGGAGCCAGAGCACGATCAATATGAACAGCCTGAATGCCCCTCCCCCCGACGTCGGGATCGCGGGTCCTTCCAAGCCACCGTACTCGAGACAGAAGGGGAATGAATTACTCCTATCCCTGTAGAACCTTGCTACATCCCTGCATGACCAGCAGGCTGACCGCAACAGAGGGTGATCAGACTGATGTTGCTTGTCAATGCGAAAGGACGGAGGGCCAACATCGTCCTCTGACTCATGCTCCAGGTTCTCGTCATATTTCTGCTCCTTCTCATCTCTTCTTCGCCCTCCTTCACCTTCTCCTTATCCTCCCACTCCTCCTCCCATCCTCCTTTCTCCCCCTCCCGACCTCATTCTGGTCTCCCTCATTATTCCCCTCCCCTCCTCGATGCAGCGGAAGAGTGCGAGGAAGATGACGAGGATGGAGAAGGAGGGATATGAGGAGGACCAGGAGGACGAGGTTACAAATCAAAGATCCTTTTCCTCCTCCTCCTCCTTTCCACCTCTTCCTCCTCCTGCCTCCTCCCTCTCTTCCTCCCTAGTCCCGCCCCCCTCCCCCTTGCTGTTTTTCATCCCCGCTCCTCGTACTTTTCTCTTCCCTTCTCTCGCCCTTCCCTCGTCCTTTTGTCTCCCCCATTCCTCCTCTTCCTTCTCCTCCTCCTCCTCCTCCTCCTCCTCCTCCTCCCTGCCCCCCTGTTCCTCCGCCCCCCTCCCTCTCCCCCCACCCTCCCTCCCTCTCCTCCCGCCCCCATCCCCTCCCTAATACCTTTCAATCCTCTCTCGAAACCCTTCTCCCCCTCCACCCCCCTCCCTCCCTCCCTCCCTCCCTGCCTGCCTGCCTCCCTCCCTCTCAAAATATGTATGTACTCCCCCCTTCCGCGCCATCACGCAAAGCCCCACTACGGCCAGACCACAGCCCCACCAAGATCGTGAAACCGTGTTAACCAAAAGCATCACGGCGCTGCAACAGCGTGCCTCCAGCCTCGCAGTCACGCTGCGTAACACCCAAGAACAGCTCAACGACACAATCCGCATGAAACGAACTCCGACAGACCTTCCGAAAGCCTCCTTTCTCCCGGGCTACTCTCCAAGATTATCCCCGAGCACAATCTGCTGCTCACCGTGGACCAGAAAACAAAAGACACGACCCCACCTACGGCCCCACGGGCCGTAGCGTATACCAAAACATTTGGCGTGGGTTTTGCATGGTATACGCTACGGCCCCCGATGGGCCGTAGCGCACCATGGAGGGACGTGGGTGGGGTGGCGTCGTTTGTTGTTTGGCCGACACCGCGAGTGCACCAAGTGCTGGCGGACTCACGCCTGTCAATTTCGTGCCCGGCGAGAGCACCCGGCAACACGTGCCGCGGACCCGGCACCAGGCCGCCGAGGGGGATGCCCCAGGGCGGCGCCTGCTCTTCCCAGAGCGCACCGAGGCGCGCAGGCCAAACAGCGCGCGGAAAGAGCCACTGCACCTTTGCGAGGCGGGGATTTATCCACATCCACCGCCTGGGGACCGACGTCCTGGTGCCCCAGCGGGCGGTGGATATGGATGTATGTCGGCCCCTGGGGGCCCGAATCTGCCCATATCCACCGCCTGCCGAGGCTCCGAAAACTGACCCTCAAGGCGGTGGATACGGATAAATGCCCGCCTCGGAACCTCGCTCTCCCAGGGGCGCCAGTCAGGGACGAGTCTCGTCCTCATCGCCGTGTCCCGCTTTGGGTCTGCAATCGGGGCCCCGTCTCGACCCCGCCAGGGGGGAGTTTCTTTTTGCCACCCCTGCCACCTACATGCGGCACCTCCTCCTCCTCGTCCTCCTCCTCCCCTCCTCCTCCTCCCTCCTCCCTCCTCCCTCCTCCCTCCTCCCTCCTCCTCCTACCCCTCCTCCCCCTCCCCCTCCTCCTCCTCCTCCTCCTCCTCCTCCTCCACCTCCCCCCGCCCAAGAGGCGGCGGGCAACAGGTGCTGGCAACCTCCGCCCGCGGACGGACGTCGGCCTGCCCTCCTCGGCGCGCTCCCCCCCGCCCTTTCCCTCCATCCGGGGGCGCGCAAACATGGATGAGCGATCCACGGATTTGGCGCGCGGTCGCCAAATCCATGGATCGGGGGAGGTGCCCTCCCCTGAATGCGGCCAAGGCCGCCTCGTTCGGCGACGGAAATCCGAGAGTTTCCATGGAAACGGCACCCGTCGCTAATCCACGCACGCCCCCTTGATCCATGTTTGCGATCGCCTGACTCCAGGAGAACCCAGGATCGAATCGACAAGTCGGACCGGCGATCGACATGATAATCGGATCGACGGAAATCGGCAGCCGAGTCGGGAGGCATCGGCAGGCTTGCAGGCCTCCATCGAGAAATCGGAGCACCAATCGGAATCCCAAATCGAATCGAATCGGAGTCGGAAACCGTCGACATCGAATCGAATCGAATCGGAGGAATCGAAACGAGCCCCTTCCGGGCCGGCTAATAGGGGGGCGTCCAAGAAGGGTGGTGGTGCACAAATTATGGCCAGCGGCATGTGCGCGGCCCAGGGGGGGTGCCAGGGACGTATTGAGATAAGAAGAGGCGCTATTTGAAACCTGGGGAGATCTCATGGCTCTCGCTCTGGCATCCATCCCCCCCTGGTCATCACCCCCCCTCTCTGCCGCCCCGGACCCTTTCCCTTTCCCTCCCTCCCTCGAGCCCCCCGGACTCGGATGGAATCGGAGGCGGAGGAGGAGGAGGAGGAGGAGGAGGAGGAGGAGGAGGAGGAGGCGCAGGAATCGCGCCCTCCCTCGAATCCCCCGGATTCCTCGGCCGCGCCCAGCTCGAGGCTGGCCGCCCCGCCGGGAGCGGGCCGGCCCGGGGCCTGCCGGGAGGGGGGGGCGGCCGCGCGGGGGGTGGGGCAGGGGGGTGGGGGGCGAGGGAGGGGGGGAGGGCGAGGGGAACGAGGAAGATTCGTCACTGCACCGGCCTTGCAGACGTGCTGCAGCGGATTCCTGCGTGGATTTCTTCGTGAGTGTTTGCCCGAAACGGCCAGCGAAAAACAAAGTGAATTTCGCGTGGATTCCTTTTGGTTTTCATTCCTGGCCAAATAGAAACCGCACGAAATTCACCTCGAAATCCGGAACGAAATTCTCCAGGACACTCCAGGCCCATCCTATCGTTTTCCGAACGCGATCCGCTCTGCGATGTTGGCGCCATGAAGATTCGCTTTTGCCAGGAACAGGTGTCAGCACACCTCCGAGGGACCCTGGGGATTACAGACAAGAGAAGAGAACGCAAACGGCGGGGAGCCCAGCAAGGCTCGGGAAAAACTGGAACGCAAGCAGCAGGCCCCACTCTTCGATGCCTACACATGGTGGAAGACGCTTACGCATTCGCATCAGGGCCGTATCACCTTGCCGCTCTTCGGCAGGTGGCGCTCTGATCGCCCGCATGGTGAATTGAAGGGAGTGGGGCGGAGAGCGAGGGGGAAAGTGAGGAGAGGAGATGGGGAGGGTAAAGGGAGGAGTGAGCAGCTGGATGGGATGAAGGGGAGGAAGTGAAGGGACGGGTGCCACGGTGGGGGGAAAGGGTGCGGGAGAGAGGGGGGGAGCGGGATGAAGAGCAAGGAGGGGTCGGGCGGGGAAAGCGCAGTGGATGGGCGGGATGGGTCGCTGCTGGGAGGGGGAAGCTGGGACGGAACAAAGTTCGCCGGCCCAATGGGCAAAAGAAGTGTTAAAATCTCAAGGGAAAGTCTAAGAATGTTCTAATTCGCGCACGCGTGGCGGGCCCTGGGGGTCCCCGGACGAAGAATACCCAGGCTAGGTCCTGGCAGGGTTCCGGCAAGTCTGGATCAAAAATGCCCGAACTCCTGGGTGCGGCCTCGGGTGCCTCCCCGAGCGCCCCAATGAGACGCCAAATGGGTTCCCACGGCCTCAGGCGAATAACGTTCCAAGATGGCCCAGCTTGGTCCCCAGACGGCCCGAGAAGCGCCCAAGAGGCCCCAGGAGGCCTCTAAGAGAGGATTTCGGAACGCCCTGGAGACACTAAAATCATTGATTTCGTTAATTGAGGTTTTCGGACGAGTGTGGCGGTACCGCCTTTTCGGGCTGCCGCCCTGGACGGCCCAAGAGGCCACCAAGATCGCCTCCCAGACAGCCCAAGACACCCCCAGGACGGGGCCCGAGACGGCCCAACAAAAATCACAAAACAGCCCGAGAGGTCCCCCCAGAGGACTGCCGAAGCTCCCGCGAGCGCCCCAGGAGGGGGACCCCGACCCGACATATCGAGCTGTCCCCGAAAGTTCGCCCAAGTTGGTCCCCAGACGGCCCGAGAAGCACCCAAGACGCCCCAGGATGCTTCCAACAGGACTTCGGGACGCCCTGGAGACACTGACATCATTGATTTCGCTAGAGGTTGATTTTGGTGGTACCCTGGAGGTTGTCGGCTGATTTTGCTGGTGCTGCCTTTTCGGGCTGCCGAGCGAAGCGAGGTCGCCAAGATCGCCCCCAGGCAACCCAGAACATCCCCAAATGTGCCTGAGACTTTTCTGTTAGGACAATCCTGCACTCCGTCAGGCCTACTGGAGACCTTCCGCAACCCTCTGAAACTGCCTGGGTGCGTTTCGGAACTCTGCTGCAGCTCTCTTGGACCATCTTGCAGCACAACCAACCTCGAGTTGGTGGTGCCACGGTTGGATCCCCTTCGAAGTTTTAGCCAGAACGCGCCCCTGCATAGGTCCAGGGGGTCGGCTTCCCCTGCGGGAGAAAAGGAAGGGCAGGAGGACCAGGAGGGAGGGACAGGATGAGGATAGACGGGGAGGAGAGAGAAGAAGGATGATGAAGGGTAGGTAGAGGCCCGGGAGACAAGATATAGCCCGCAACTTCACGGGCTGGCGGAAAGTGCGAAGCGGTTCAAGAATCGGACCGGACAGCTGTGCTCGAGGGGCCCCTGGCGCTGGGCAGTCCTGGAACAGAGCGGCAGCCTCCGCACTGCCGACTCCGTGCGCCTGGCTGTTAGTCGTCCACGCCGGCGCGTCGGCGCCGAGCACGAGCGTGCCACCTCGGTCGCAACCTTCCTCCCCCTTCCTCCCTCACGCTGTCCTCTTCCCTGGTTCCTCCTCCATCCTCCTCCTCCTCCTCCTCCTCCTCCTCCTCCTCCTCGTCTTCCTCTTCCTCTTCCTCTTACTCCGCCTTCTCCTCCTTTTACGCTAGGCCAGCCTCAGGATACCATGTTGCGTTTACGATGTGCGAAACAAAAAGGTACGAATGATGCAGACAAGCGACTCGGCTCGAGTAACACCTGGCGGGCGCCGCGGAAAAAATGATTGAGTGAAGAAAGGGGAAAAAAGAGAAACAAGTAGGCGCCCGCCAGGTCATCGATGTCAGCACTAACCTTAGTGAGTAGAACCCCCAGTAATTGAGAAACCACTAGCTTAAGCAAGAACCCGTAAGTTCAATTGGTAGTGCCGCCTCAGTTGGTAAACCAGTGGCTGGAATGCAAGAGACGGTCTGCAGACAGGCGAGCAAAGGCCCCAACATGTACCTTAGTTGAATAAGCAAATGAATAATCATCTCATAAACCAAGTGGGGCCCCAGACGCCCGAAGATCGCTCCACGACGCCCAAGATGGCCTCCAGACGGCCCAAGAGGCCTCCAAGATGGCCCAAGAAGCATCTAAGAGGCCTCCAAAAAGGGCCCCAAGAAGCAAAAACCGTTGATTTTCCATTGGTTTTTGAAGGTTTTTGGCGTTCTCGCATTTTCAGCTTCCGACGCTCCAAGACGCCCCAAGAGGCCCCCAAGACCGCCCCAAGGCCACCCCAAGACGGCCCGAGAGGTCTCCAAGAGGGCCCCCAAACGGCCCAAGATGGCCCCAAAACTGCCCAAGAGGCCTCCAAGACGGCCCAATACACCCCCAAGACGGCTCCAAGAGAGGGCACAGACGGGGGACCCGAACGGGCATTTCGACATCTTTGCCCGAAGGAGGCCCCAAGAGGCCCCCAAGAGGCCCCAGGAGGCCCCAAAAACACCTCCAACAGGCCCCCGAGTGGCCTCCCAAGAGACCCCACGAAGCCTCCCAAAGAGGCGTCTTGTCCACGACCAGGGTTGGCCCCAAAAATACTCCAAGAAGCCATCGAGAGACCGCCTCCTCGTCCTCATCCTCCCCTCTTCATCCTCCTCCTCCTCCCCCTCCTCCAACTTTTTCTCGCTCGCCACGAACACACAAACACATAGCACCAGCGATACAATGTGGGCCGGCGGAATGAGCGAAGCGATTAAATAATCATCTCATAAACCAAGTGGCACGAATATCATATGCTAGGTCCATGATGCGGGGACAAGAACGGCGAATGAATGGGTTAAAGCAACGGGCGCGTGGGCAAATTGCTCACGTGTCCTCCGCTGTAGGACAAGAAAGAAGACAGTATACAATTCTCCCCCAACTACCTGTAAAGCATCAACCTCCCGACAAGACTACCTTCGTATGCAAGTGGCTGCAATAATAGCAGGGAGAAACACATGTTGGCTGGCGATGGGTGTAGCCTTAGCCCTGGTAAAAAGAACGATGCCGCTTGTGTTGGTCCAGTCTAAATCCTCCTCCTCCTCCTTTTCTCATCCTTCTCCTCCTCTTGTCCTCCTCGTCCTCTGTCCTCCACCTCCCTCCTCCTCCTCGGCATTCTCCTGCTCCTTCGCCCTCCGCCGCTCGTCCTCCTTCCTCTCGTACTCCTGAAGCTCTCCTCCGCCGTCACCCTTTCCTATCATTTTCCTTTTCCTCCCCCTCCTCCCCCCTCCTCCTCCTCCTCCTCCTCCATTTCCTCTTCCTCCTCCTCCTCCATCATTATTTCTTCCCTCCTCCCCCCCCAACCTGAGATACAGTGGGCCGTCCCTGAATAGGTACTGACATTGAAGTGCGTCGTACATTCTAGGTCCTATTCAATAGAGGCATCAGGCAAGACAGGTGGAGAGCAACAAAGCATTTGATCAATCCCTGCATCTTCTCTATGTCCGGCCTATTATGTCGCATGCAATCCATTCCCAACGTCTGTGTATCCATGTACGGGTCTAGCGGCACATCGTATCGGCGCAGTGACGGCGGGATCCATTCTCGTAGCACGTGCCATCGAGGTTGTGCTGCTGTCGTAGCCATAATTCTTCTTCGCAAGTCCACACGTGGCCACCGTCTGTCGGCAAAAACCGTTGCCGTCGCATCTCAACACGACTTGTCGTAGGTGAGCGATCTACTGCCATGGGTCGGTGCTGCTTTCCACGACGACGTCGTGGTGGGGTCGGTGTGGCGTGAATCGGTGCAGGGGGGGGGGGGGGCGGCGTGTCAAAGAGCCAAGGTTAAGTCGGGCCTGTCCTCCTACAGGGGAATTTTGGACGACAAATAAATACCCCAAACATGCCTCAAAATGGTCAACAAATATCCCACAAATCGTCCCCACACTGATTTATACCGTTTTTGAATATTCCTCCTGTAGAGGGACAGGCCCGACTTAAAGCCAAGGGAATTTCCCCCAAGCTTTTTGGACAAAGGCGTTCCCCAAAACGTCACAGCGCCCTGTGGGGTACACGTTGGCACAAGCCGTGTCCCACAGTATTCCACTGTCCCCCGTCCCCCTTTCGTCGACCCCTTCGAGCGCCAGGTGGCCCCGTGGGTGACAGCACAAGGAGCCTTGACTCCTAGCGTGGAGGCATCTCAAGGGGCCCCAATATGGATCCCCATGAGGCACGTGGGCTTCTTGGATGGCGCCCCAAAAGAACACCGATGGATAAGGTGTTGGTCCACACCGGGCTGCCCCAAGAGATCCTTCGTTCCTTCTTAATACCGAGAGCTGGGCGCCTCTGGGGGACTCCAAGGCACTGCAGGGTGCCTCCTCCTCCTCCTCCTCCTCCTCCTCCTCCTCCTCCTCCTCCTCCCCCTGCAGCTTCTCATCGGGGAATACTGAACAGGGACTAGGGCGGTGGCCTGCCTCCGGGGAGGCAGGCCAATCCTCCTCGTGGAGGAAGAAACGGCGTGCAGGAGGGATACGATGGTGGTGATGATGCTGATGATGATGATGATGATGATGATGATGATGATGATAATGATAATGATAATGATAATGATGATGATGATGATGATGATGATGATGATGATGATGATGATGATGATGATGATGATGATGATGATGATGATGATGATGATGATGATGATCGTGCTGATGCTGATGCTGATGCTGATGCTGATGATCCAATTCAGCAAAGACAGTCTCGAAGAAATATTCGGCAGCTGGCCACGCCCAGCTGTTTCCCCCGGCACCTCGCACGCAGCGGCAGACCGTACATCTGGCACAAGCGAGGAGTCGGCACGACGCAGGCTTGCAGCGCAGACGTTTCGGCGTGGGCCAACCGCCTTCGCATGATTTGCGTTCGGCCTCGGCACGCGCCCCGCGATGACCCCAGCGCTTTGGCACCCGCCTCTGACCACACTCACGGTCGGCGGCTACCTCGACGCTCGGAGGTGGAGCCCAGAGAAAGGAGGCCCTCTCCAGGTTCGGCCTCCGCCGACAGCGAGCACATCTCGCAGCGGCTGGACAAAACGAGCCCGCGCGTCCAACATCTCAAGGAACACCGGGGGGGCTCGCCGCCAAAATGGTAGCGGAACGCATGCAAACCTAAGGAACGACCGAACCCTCCTTTGAAACATAACAATTCCTTATTCAAGCCGGACCCTGTACGGTCGCACCGCGGCATTGCTGCGGGCGCTCTGGAGGCGCATGGCGACGCCGCTTCATCAATGCTCTCGGTCCTGACGGCCACAGCACGGCGCTCGTCGCAGGCATTCGTGATCGTCGGACCCGCCTGGCGTCACGAGCTGAAGGATACATTGGCCTGGCCCTGATGGCCTCCCAACAGGACTACGCACTGGATGGCTTTAATGGCTCTGCGACGCTGGTCGTCGCAGCGCGCGGAGGGGAGCGCCCTCCCTTCCAGCTACATTACGGCGGGTACGAGGACGCGCGCAGATCATCTGCCTCGCCTCGCCTTCCTGGCCTTTGCCAACAGTGCGGAACGCTGGGCTGCAAGCGCGTTCCTACGCTCCAGGCGAGCCTCCGCGAACCTCCGTTTGATGCCCGTTGAGGCCCACTACTCTCGCCAGCGGTGGCCGATGAGGTGCCGCCCAGGCGCGGTCCAGGCGGTTCATGAACTCGCCGACCGCCGCCTGTCCCTGGACCATGCGGAGCCTGCGGCTAGCTCCGCCGCCGCATCCGCAACCGACGTCAAGGGCGCCGTCGACGCCGTCCACTGCTCCAGTGCTCGCCTCCACCTCGCCCTCCTCGAGGTGGCCCTCCTCTTCGTCGTCCTCGAGGCCGCTGACGTCGCCGAGGGGCCCGACACCAACGCTGCCCGCCTCGGACTCCTCCTTGAAATTGCCATCGTCGCCCAGGCCGCCGACGCCGCCGATGGAGACAGCGGCAGCGTCGCCCGACTCGGGCTCGTCGCTGGGTAGGCGGGCCGCCTTCTCCAGCGCCTCCAGCTCCTTCTGGCCGCCAGGAGCTGGCCCCCGGCCAAACTGCTCGAGCCCCCACGGCCACCACCGCGATCCCGAGGCGAGCGGGGGTGAGCGGCGCCTCAGGGCCTTGCGCACTCTCCCGGCAAGGTCGAGGGCGAGCCCGCGAGGCAGCTCCCCGAGCCTCGTCGCCACCTGCCGGTCCGACGCCTCGGTTCCTCCGTCCGCCGCCGCAGCCGACGGCGACGCCCCGGTTCCCCCGTCCGCGGCGCCGTGGAAGGCTCGGCGACGACTGGCCCCCGCCTACGCTGGCGGCTGCGCCTCCGCGCGCGCCTAGGCGACCTCGCCTCCAGGCCAGCAGCGTGCACGCCGTCGAGCTCGTCCTTCCACAATCCGTTGTCTAAGGCCTCCTCGGTCGCTGAGTCCCCCCCCCGCGTCATCCTCGACTTCGGACCCCTCGTCCTTGTACGTTCCGACGCCCAGCTCGCGGCGCGGCGGGAGGCTCGGCGCCCAGCGCCCAGCGGGCTTGGCATCCGCCTTCGAGCTCATGCCGCCGACCACGCCGCCGT